TGTTTAGGGTTTAGGGTTGGTTTGTTTGCGGCCTGGGAGAACTGCGCTGAACGCGGATAGGATACCCCCTTGGACCCTGTTTAGCACTTGACATTGTTAGGTTCTGATCGGTGTTAGTTGCAGTAATCGCGTAAAATTCAATATGCACGAGTTCTAGGCGCCCTTGAAGAGGAAATCGCCCGTTCTTTCGTAGTTTACGGGCCCAAGAGCACGTGGGTAGTTCTCTGAATTAGGGNNGACCACAATTTAGAGAACTACCCTTATTGTACCCTGATAGAAACCCAATAGAAACCCTTGTATATCCCTTCAAGGAGCCCTAAACCCTGTGAGGAGTCCTAAATAGGAATAAGCCCGGACTCTAAGACGGATGATACCTTCCACAGGTACCGTTTGCCCGACCGATGTGTAGGTGCTTTGGTTTTCTAGGGTCAAAGGTTTCGGGTTTAGGCTTTAGGGTTTAGGCTTAGGGTTCAGGGCTTAAGCTTTCTTTGGGGTTGAGGTTAGGAATTGTCAGGGAGTTTCTCACGACTTGTGCTTTTTACTACAAGGCTTTACAAGGGTTACGATGGATTCCACATGGGTTCAGGGTTTTCCTGTGAGGCGTAAGGTATACACTAAGGTTTTCTGTGCTTGTATTTCGGGCTCCGGGGGGGGAATATAGGTGAGTGTATATGCTGGGCTTGACTAGGGGAATGTTTGCCGGTAATGAGACCATACTTGCCGTAAACCCTAAACCCTATTTAGTGTCGAAAAGAGCAAAGAACTCCGTCAGATCTCCTTCTTTGCCGCACCAGGGGTTGAATCCTTACGCTTCAGGGTTTTAGGGTTCAGGGAATGGGTTGAGGGTTTTGCGGGTTTAGGGGTTTCGGGGTTGACGGTCTCAATCACGCCTCCAAACAATCCCCAAATGTGCCCTCGACTGTTGTATAAACCCTAAACCCGACCCCCCATCCCTCTCAACAACCGAAAGGAAAAGTCTTCGGGCCTCTTCCCTAGTCCCCAAGCCCTAAGGCCTAAACCTACAGGAGCTGGCGCAGCACCGCGCCGAAGGCGATGTCTGGGTGTCTTTGTATGGGAGGATCTACGACCTGACGGAGCCGCTTTGGCCTGCAAGTGTTTTGGGAGCTTTAGGATTTAGGATTTAGGGTTTAGGGTTTAGGGTTTAGAGTGGAGGGTTCAGAGCTGTAGGGTTTAGGGTTCAGGGTGGAGGGTTCAGAGCTTTAGGATTAAGGGTTGCAAGGGCGATGGGAGTTTTAGGTACTATAAGGTTTCAGGACTTTAGGATTTAGGGGGTTGCAAGGTTTATGGGAGCTTTAGGTACTACAAGGTTTCGAAAAGAGTTCAAAAGAGTTTTGACAGGGTTCTATTCGGTTTCCAGAAGGGTTCCATATGTTTTTGTTTCAAATCTCACGCAAAGCTGTAATAAGCCCCCCTGGCTTCCAGTGGTACAGCAAGCCTTCTGATTTTAGTTCTTGCTGACTCCTGTTCGAAGGGTCCGTAACAAACCAGAATACAAGTCCGTGGATGCGTGTCCGTGGATGCGTGTTACAAGGACCCCTGCATAAGGCAGTCAGTTTTAGAAGCACTGGTTTCGCATAGTTCGCGTAGCTCTGTGCGTTCAGCTGCCGCCAAAGACATGTGATCGAACAGCTCCGTTAAGCTGCCAGACTCTGGAAGAGTGAAGCCCCAAGCCAGCATGCGCTGTCTTTATAGTTTCTCGCCACCTGTATTGCTGTGATAACCTGCACACAGTCAAACAGTTGTAGTTAGTACTGTTGCGTCTTCACTACACAGTTTTATTGTCAATGTTGCTACAATTAGTTGAGAACAGAAAAATGGCTATTACTAGAACTGTTCATCTTTTTGCTAGTACGACTACTGTTGCTACTACGACTACTACTGCTACGACTACTACTGCTACTACTACTACTACTACTACTACTACTACTACTACTACGACGACTACTACTACCACTACCACCACCTACTGCTGCTACGACTACGACTACGACGACTACTACTACTACTACTACTACTACTACTACTACTACTACTCCCATGGAAGTGAGCACTGAGACGACCGCGAATGATGGCAGTGCACAAAATGCTGCAGACGCAGCAGTGGTGACCGGTCCTCTCGACGGCATGCGGGCCGTACCTGTCCTCGCAGCGGATCTTGGACGATTCGGCGCACCAAGTGAGTGAGTACTACTATTGCCTACTACTACTGCTGCTGCTGCTGCTACTACTACTACGGTACTACTGCAACAACTACTACTACTAC